GTCAGAAATATAATAGAACATACTTTGTGCCTAATAAATTAACTCCAGGTAGCGTTTTCCTGCTCCTACAAGCCACGATCGCATTCTGTGAAGACATGGCTTTAATGTATTTTATCCACTATTGGCCCTTCACTTTTGATTTTTGTAGTCAAGTAGGTGCTAATTTCTACATTCAAGAAATAGTTAATCCATTATGTTGTCATTTAATTAACTATGGTAATTTGTTGTGTTAATTCATGGTGTTCTCGGAATTAACTATTAATTATTTCCTGATTGCATCAAATTGGTAATTGTGTTGTATATTTACATTTTTAAAATTTTATATGAATGTTGTTCTTCTTGGAAACAAAACCTTCACAGAGCCAGACACAGGGTTAGGGGATCCTCAAGGTCACGCCCCACTTTGATGGTACATCATAGTCTAAAGTTTCTATACCCCTGGACCATGTTGATATACAATATGTAGAGAATTACATATCAGAAATCTATCACCTTGTTTCTGTGGCCTTTCACTGTGGATGAGTAGTGTGAGGCAACAGTCCAGAACATACCTTTTTAGCTAGAATTATTGATATCCATATATTTTCTATCTTGACTTAGAAATCATCTTTATATGTTTTCTTCCAGAAGCCCAACCTTAGTAAAAAATATACCTACCAGTTTAGGCTACGGAGCAGCTCTTAATGCCAGTTTGCAGGTAAGAGCATCAAATGCACTTTTTTCCTTTATCCTTGCATTTGAATATTTTGCCTTTGTTTGTTTGCTTCTTTTGCATGCTTTGTATTTAGATGGGATTGTGATTGTTCTTAAGAGTTGGTTTATCATCCAAGTAAGTTGTAGAACCTAGTACTGTAGAAAGCACTGGTTCTAATTCAAGCTACTTTTGATGTGAAGAAGCAAGAAGGACACCCTGTGGCAAAATCTGGAACACTCGGTTTTCCTGCAAATGCTAGATTGATAGAAGCTTTTGCAAATGCATGTGGCTATGCATTAATATTTATCCAGGCTGTCATAAATGATTTCACATCATAGTGTTGGGGAACATGGTGCTTGTGGCAAAAACTTTAAAGTTTAATTATAATATATAATTTTTATGCAGAGGAGGCAAATGTCAGGACTTCTTTATTTTGAGCTAAGTCCTGGTCATTTTTAAAAAGCAGAGCAACTGCTTATATGTTGAGGTTTTTCACGACATGTGAGAATACAGCATTTCATTATGTGGAAGGCTGAAACATGAGTGAAAAAGTTTGCTGGGTGAGCTTCTGTTTACATTTTCGCATCACACTTAATTTTCTTGATATCTCTGCCACAAGTGGCCAGTTAGGAGTCTTTGTCCTTCCCATGCGTTTTATTTAAATACTTCTAAAACCCCACATCGGGATCCAAACCCATTAAAAAAAGATACATGTTTAAAAAAATATTTTAAAGGGCAGTTCCAAAGTTGTATTACACCTTCTTTGTTTCACTAGGCTGCCTTGGCAGAGAGCAGTTTGCCTTTGCTTAGTAACCCGGGACTGATCAATAACGCATCCAGTGGCCTTCTGCAGGCCGTCCATGAAGACCTCAATGGCTCCCTGGATCACATTGACAGCAACGGGAACAGCAGTCCAGGCTGCTCGCCGCAGCCGCACATGTAAGTGGGTTAGCAGACCCCGCTAGGTGAGGGCCTGTTCACGCGTGCTTCTAGATTCAGTAGTCTTCCGAAGTTGCTGGTGGTATATAAGTACAAAATACAATTGTAAGTAGAGTTCAATTGCCCCATGTTCATGATATGAAAAAGTGTATCGAAATCAGTTTTAATGCATCTTTTAGATTCTCTCCAATGTCCCATAATTATTATACTAGCAGTCCTCTGCAAATTTTTAGCACTACGAGCATTCTCTTGGGGGTACAGCAGAGTCTAAGATGAGTCTACGTCTTATGGGTCATTATCACAGTTTGGTTTGTATGGGGCAATAAAAATATTCATGATGGAATAAGTTGTCGTAATTTTTACTACTATTACAGGTCTCTAAACCATTTATGAACTGTAGTCAGGATATTGCCCGTTTTTATAAACCGTAAAATGCAAAGTTTAACTGTTAGCCACAGTTTACATAGAAGCTAGTAAAGTGTAACTTTTTGCCTGTCTTATAAATCAGTGTAATTACATATTCAACTTTAATTACTGGTGCGTCTGTATTGGCAAGGTTTATATGTTATATTTTATGCAAGACTACGATTCCTATTAATATTTAGCAGCTAACTATATCATTAATTACTCTAAAATCTTTCCCCTACCATCTTTTTAATGGAGCTAAGAGAGTAGATGTATTAAAAATTGATGTATTGTGGATTTCAGAAATGTGTATGACACTTTAAAAAATGCCTGGCCTTATTCAATAGGCCAAGCATATCAGTTTCTTATTTACTAAAAAGTATTGACCTTGGTAGAACTTAGAATTCAGGGATAAAAATTATAATCTGAATAATGAAGTGTATATACCATCCAGTTGTTAGGATGAGCCAACACTTACGTCCATACTTCCAGGAGTTAAACATCATATACTTCTAAATTTCCAGTTATTGAGGTAAGAATAGTACTTTCTCTCATTTTTATATTTTCTTCCCCATTTCTGCATTAAATATCTAGTCAAAGACCCAAATGAGAAATGTGGCCTTTATAAATGCCTATATCCATTTGATGTTTCCTAGGATATTATTTTTGTTGACTTTTTAAACATCTTATTCTATTTGACATATTAATGTCTTTAAGATCATGAGCTTAATTGCTTTATAGCACTTTTACTCTATCACCTTTGCAAAAAGCACACTGTGAACATTAATGTGTTTTATCAGGTTCCAAACCATTACTTTTTCAAAATGGAAAAATTTGTCTTTTCGAAGTGTCTTTAGATGTATTAAATAATACAAAAGAAGTAATAAAACTTGAAGTAGAAAGAACATGAATATATGCTCTTGAGAGTAGGAGTACTCTAAAACAAGGAAAGTGAGCCATCAGACAAAAGTTCCCATACCTCTGCTTTATCCTATCAGCCAGGCAGAGGGTAGCTGGAGGCCTTTTACTTTTAGTAGTTCTCCTGAGTATGCTGGTACTCGTTCTCTGTATAAAATGCTAAAACATTAAAACTTTAAAGAGCAAACAAGAGTTAGATCCTGTTTTCCCCCTTTTAAAAAAGACCGATTTCAGAGAAATGAAAGACGTTTATAATGAAAGTGTTTAAGCTGCTGATATAACTCCCCGTGTTAATATGTAGTGGGTAGTGGTGGCCCGTGTACCATACAGAAAGGATATGTAAAGAAGTGTTTTCTTAAGTGTAAACATCCAGTGATAAGAATAATAAGATAAAAATTAATGATTCAGTCAAATAGTTGGTTAAACACTTTATTTTAAAACCTGAAATAGTAATTGGGCTTAGCTGTGGCATTGCTAGGTTAGTTGTATTTTTTTCTTTTGGCAATTGCTATTTTAGACTCTTCATTTTGTTATTTAGTTCAGTTTAATTGTGAAATATCTCAGCAAAAAATAGGATGTATAAAATAATATATACAACTTATAGATTTAGTGTCTGATGTACTGCCGCTATGGGTATATAAACCTAAAATGACCATAGTGAATTTAGTGTATGCTTTCTGCCAATATGAATTAGTGCATGTGAAAAATACTTAGGTGTGTTTTCCATAGAGGGATTTAAGGAAAGCTTCTCTTGCCCGTTGGAAGTAGATTTCAGAAAAGAAAAAATCTGAAGAAGACCAAATCTGATTTTTTCCTAATTTCTATAAATTATAATCAAAATTTTAACTATCTTGCAAGAAATACTGAGCTGTCATTCACTCTTTGACTCTGTTTCTTTTATCATTAACTGTTTGTATATTGGACATCAAATATTATTGATGGCATGTCACTTCAGTGTTCTATATCTTCATCTTTTTAGAGTTTTAATATGATTGTACTTAAAGAATGCTAAGCATTTTATGTACACTATGGGGCAAAGGAAAAATATTACCTGATTCTCTCAGTCAAAAGTTGACTACATATAACTAAAGTACTTTTTGAAAATTTAACAGAAGTGAAAGAATCATTAGAGAATGTTTCCATTGCTTACTTCTGCACCCTGAAGTGAAGCCATGGTACTTGTTGTTATTTTGGAAGGGAGTAGTTATACTGATGAAATTGTGAATAAGAAGCAGAAGGGCCTGCTGCTTTCAGTATATGGGCTCTAGTGACAGATTGTAGGGGTTCCAATCCCAGATTTAGCATTTAATACCTGAGTAGAATTCATTTCTTTCCTCAATTTTCTCACTGAAAAAGTAACTAATAATAATACCTAACTCATAGGATCCTTTCAATTGAAATGAGTGCCTAGAAGATAATAATTCCTCCCCATATACTCCACACAGTTACTAGCTTATATTACATCTTGTAATACCTTATTGTTACTCTAAATGACATTAAAGATGATATTAAGATATTTCACATTTTAATGCATTTTTAAGGTAGTCCATACATGTGTGTTTAGTTTCCTTGACCATCCCTTTCCTTTCGCTCTTACCCCCTCTTATAATTCATGAAGTAAGCCAATCCAAAAAGGAAACAATAAGAGAAAGAACTTTATGGTAGTAAGCAGGTTACTCAGAATCAGCAGGATAAGAGATTTTTGAGAAAAAAAGAAAAGATGTTATTTGAGGTTATAGATAATGAACAGTTCAGATGAATAATACTGACCCATAAAGGAACTCATGATATATGCCTAGAAAACTTTGACTATTAGGTTTGACAGGAATTTAAAGTACAAAAAGGAAAACAGAATTTAGAATATATGAAGTGGTGGTTAGTAGACTATTGAGTGTCGTAAATATCAAGCTGTGGTCTTTGTTTGAGTCAGTATGGAGGCTATTCACGTCATGAGCTTGAGTTTCACACTCAGCTGTGCTTTAGGAAGAGTAATCTGGAAGTGTGCTGAAGGAAACTCACACATGGTAGGATGTTCTGGAGTTGGGAGAGACTGAGAGCAGAAGATTAATTCATGCCGTAGGTAATACCTGACTTAAGTGCCAGCCTTAGAGTGGAGAGCAAGGAATCAATACAAAAAGTATTGAGGGGAAAAAACACCAAATACAACAACCCACTGAATGCTGGGGACAAATTAGGAAGAGGAAAATTAGGACAAGAGGAAAATTAGGAAAAGTCATAGCAACTTTGGAAGCTCACAAGGAAAACTAGACGTTATAAAGAGGACAGGCTCAAGAGGGAAAATGATGTGTTCAGTGTTTTACTTGTTGAATCCAAGAACCCAAGTGTCCTTCTATTCAGGAAACTGAACGTTTATTGTTTGTTTTGTCCCAAATGGTAAAATCAAAATCCCAATGGTAACACAGTAGAATATAGAATAGAAGTATTCTCCTGGGATTGGTAGAGATGTTTTGAAGCTTTAGAAGAGAGGAATAGTTATAGGTTACTACTTCTTATATTATTTTAAGAGAACAGGAGATGTCAAATTATCATCCACACGCTGCAGTTTTTTGTTTTTTTTTTTTTAATATTTTATTTCTAGGAGAGAGAGAGAGAGACAGCATGAGCAGGGGAGGGTCAGAGAGAGAGGGAGATATGACTCTGAAATAGGCTCCAGGCTTTGAGCTGGCAGTCAGCACACAGCCCGACGCGGGGCTCGAACCCACGAACCGCAAGATCATGACCTAAGTGAAAGTCAGACGCTTAACTGACTAAGCCACCCCGGCACCCCTATACTCTGCAGTTTGATGCTCCATATTTAATACTTTCTCTTCATTCCAAGGTTTACCCTTAGAATGCCCTGAATGAAGGCTTTTGCCAATTTAGTGCATTCATTTTGCATTGACTACTTGACTTCACTACTTTCTGCCTTTTCCTTTTTTGGTTCTTCATCCTCTTTCCCTTACCTAAATTCTGCCATCTCTTAAGAGCCTAGTCCTATTTTACCAGGACATTTTCCTGAGTAAGGGTGCTGTCAGGACCTACACTTTGCTCCACACTTTTGAAGAGCTTACTCCACATACCATTTTCTGTACTAACAGAGCTTGTGTGTGAACATGTGCACATTCAAGCCTACCGCGTGCTCACCTTGCAGATAGCCTCAGCTGAAGGACAGATACTATGTTCTGGATGTATTGTACTATATGAAACCTCTGACAGGCTAAACCATACAAAGTAAGCATTTGGTAATTGTATGATGATGATTTTGAAGAATCACATGGACGACACGTTTTGGTGAAATGGTTTGACTTCACAATGTAATCCCTACAAGAGGAAAAGCCAGGATTCTCTTAGAACCCTGAGGACAAAGGAAGAACAAGGGATTTTTAGGAAGGAGGAAGGATAACTAAATGTAACGTTTGTCTTTATGAGGGCGTTCAGACATTTTTCTAAATGTTGGTAGAGTATGCTCGTGAAGTTTTATTTTTAATTTTAATTATTTAGTTTATATGTATTTTCTAACTGTTCAAATTTATCTGAATAGTAAGTAGCAGGCCCCTTCACCTCATTCGTGATTATCCTCTCAGATCTTGTTAAATTTTATTTATCTTGTTGAAGGTGAATTAAAAAAGAAAAAAAGTACTGAAATTAATGCATTATTAATCAGATCGAATGTTCAA